TTTTTAGCAAAAATAATGATTTGGGATAAGGAAGACCTGAAGAACAAAATAAGAAATCTGAAATATAAAGAAATGATGGATAGAATGAGAAGATCAAGAGGAAAGGGACTTGTTATCACAGAAGCCTGGAGAAGAATTAGAAGGGATAGAGGGATAATAAGAAGTCAAGGGTATGAGTTTTACAAGGAAAATTACTGGGACATGACAAGTAGAGTGGAGACGAATAAGTATATAGGAGAGGAGAGAAATAAGAAAGTTTTCGGATTATGAACTAGTTGAAGAAGTGGCTAAAGAATATGAATTTAACGTCGAATTAATGGAGATTTTTTTTACGGATGGATTGAAGAAAGATAGTGGGAAATCTACAGGTGTTGGAATAGTAGAGGTGGAAAGAGAGGTCATTTCATTAGTAATAACAACAGATGTTCGGTATACACGGCTGAGGTGGTGGGTATAGCAAAGACAATCCAACTATGTCAAGAGAAAGAAGTAAATAAGGATGTAGTGATCTTCTCAGACTCTAACCCCTTGTCTACAACCTTGCTTTAATTCTTAAGCCGTAATAAATTGACCAACCACAGTCGATTATTTTAAAAATAATCAACTGTGGTTGGTCAATTTGGTGAACAAAGGGAGAGGGTGCAATAGAAGGTATAGATAAAATCTGATTAATGTCTATAGAAACATGTATGAAATTGAGGCTAGAAGAAGGTATTTTGAATGGAAAAGAAGTACGGTGTGACGTGGCAGCCTCGGAGGCGCCCGTCCCAAAGAAACCGTATCGATTTCGTGATAGTTTCTTGCGTAACGCGTCGCGAAAGAAATCTCGCGAAGGTTACCGGATATCGCGTCCCGGCGTATTTTCTGTTTGTGTGAGTCTCTAGAAGAAATATGAGAAGTATTTCGGGCGAGCGGAGCAGATTCGAAGGTTCTCGCGTCCCTAACTTTGTGCCCCTCGGCTTCCCTTGCCGGCCACCAAGACCAACGGAGCTAAGGACATCGAGGGACGAAGGAGCATCGACCGCCGGCTCATCGCTCTCGCTCAGGTGAATCGCTCTCTTAAAATTTAGCATTAGAAAATTCTCGAACTCCCGATCGCTCAGCATTATCGAATATTATAACAACTAGAATATTCGATAACGAGAGCATAGCTACCGCAAATAGACGTGAGACTGTGTTTACTTTTAGCGGGCGCTAAGCGGACGCAGCGAGCGAACGAGACCGTCCCGTGGATCCCAGCAGGAAAAAACCGCGAGCCAATCCACGACGGCAGTGTCTCGAGATAGGTAATATCTCGAGACAGGAATTATCGAAAATTACCGATTCCCGAGTGCCGAATGCCGCTGGGCGAGAAGAGAAGCGACGAAGGAGGACCAGCGAGGATACGCGATCTTCCGGAAGTCGATGGATCGCCAGCCTTACCGCGACCGTTGCCGCGCACAGACGAAAACGATTTTGAGATTGCCGTACCGATAGTGCGTGAGAGGAGCAAGAGTGTGACGAGAGAGAGAGAAAGAGAGAGAGAGAGGGAGAGGGGGGAGAGAGGGGGGAGAGAGAGAGAGAGAGAGACGGTGGAAGAGAGAGCTAGGGCAAATGGAGCGAAAGAGAGAGCGAGAGAGGACAGCCAAGATCTCCGAGGAGGATACCGCCACCGCCACCGCCGGCGCCATACGCAGGGCGATCCGCCGATTGTAAGACCTCCTATCTGCTCTGTATTTTTCGTCTCGTTACATTCGTCTCGGTATATTCGTGTACCGTTGTCCTGTCTGCACGTCAGAAAGCTCACTCGAGGAGATCGTTCTCGGGTCTTAATTGTCGCGAGCATAATACCATCTCGAGTCTCGCACTTGTTTTTGTGAAAATTACCGCGCGCTGATTACCGGGACGTGCGAGAGTCCCGTCAAATAAATTCATTACTATCGATCACGCGTGGAATCATTTGTGCCCTTCCTGTGCTGGGATTCTGTTTTTTCCGTTATCGTTGCGCAGCTTTTCTGCAGTATACAAAAGCTGCGCAACGATAACAAAACTGTCGTTAACTCCAATAACGAGTTACAGAATCTCAGCACTAAACACACCCCCGTCTCCGACTTAAGATCACGAGGAGCTACCGGTCCCGACGGTTCCCGGGACACGCGAATTTTGTGTCGCTTATCGCCTCTCGCGTCTATCGAGGTGGTGTGGCCTTTTCCGCACCTGTGCTGGGATTCTGTAACTCCCCAGCAAACACAATGTTACATGTAACGTACATGTTAGTTGTAATTTCCTACTCAACAATATAACTGTTACATAACACGCATGTTATATAACAGTTATATTGTTGAGTAGGAAATTACAACTAACATGTACGTTACATGTAACATTGTGTTTGCTGGGTCATTATTGGAGTTAACGACGGTTTCGTTATCGTTGCGCAGCTTCTGTATACCGTAGAAAAGTCGTTAACTCCAATAACGAGTTACAGAATTCTAGCACTGGCGCCCAACTTATCGTTTCGCGTTGTGGCGTGAATCGGGGTCGACGGCAATTTGCCGGACAGGCGACTGTCTGCAAACCTCGCGAAAGACGTCGCAACGGATAAAAGAATAGTGCCAGTGTGGATACCTGGTCACAAGGACATAAAAGGAAATAAAGTTGTTGATGAGCTGGCTAGGGGAGAAACGGAAGAGAAAAGTACAAGAGAGCTTAAAGTCCCCTTTTCAGATTTAAAGGAGGAATATAAAAGAGAGGGAAGAGAAAGGACAAAACTTGTCAATATAATAGCATGTTTGACTGGCTCTGGGTTAACCCACTCTGAATTATTCAGCCTACGTTTATTGGTCGAATAAGTACTTACAAGCTTTATGATTGGCTAGTAGAGATTTATGACGTCATTAATCGCTCTCGGAGCGATTAACCCAGGGCCAGTCGAACACGCTATTAGTGAAACCCGGTGGAAAGGAAGAGTATTTTGAAAAATTTTATCAAGAGAACGAAAAGCCTTGATACAAGGATAGAAATGACGTTATAGGATTTACCACAATGTTAAATAGGATAAAAGTCAACCATTATAACCTAAATGAATTTCTCGAAAGGAAGGGCTTCATTGATGTGATTGTGGAGTAGAGAAACAAGATATTAATCATATATTATATAGATATAGAAAGTACGACGAAGAAAGGAAGTTCATGTTCAGGAAAATAGAAAAGTTGAGCAAGGGAATTACTCTAGATATTAATAAGTTAATATAGTTGAACGAGAGGGAGATATTTATTATCTTTTAGTTCTTGAGGAAAATAGGCGTACAGTTGTTAAATTGATATATAAATTTTCAGGAGAATGAAAGAAGAAGATAATGTGCTAAATGACCATAAATATCCTCGGGGAAGGTCGATAGTGTCATTAAAAAGAAAACCTACTTTTGTCATCTAGAAAGAAAAGTTTTCATAAAAGATGTTAAAAATTGTGACGTGGCGACCGTGGAGGCGTCCGTCTCAAGAATATCGTACCGGATTCATGTGAGAGTTTTCGCGTATCGCGTTGTTAACGGTTTTCGCGAGTATTCTCGAAATCGCGTTCCGGCGTGTGTTTGTTTGTGAACATCATTAGAACAAAGATCGGAAGTGACTTTTGCGAGCGGAGCAGATATGAAGGTCAGCGCGTCCCTAACTTTGTGCCCCCCCCCCCCCCCCCCCCCC